CTCCCTCTCGTTCTCCCTCTCGTTCTCCCTCTCGTTCTCCCTCTCGTTCTCCCTCTCGTTCTCCCTCTCGTTCTCTCCTTTTCTACAGAGCATTTGATACTTTGGCTAAAGCACTTAATACCACAGATGCCTCAGCAGCTCAGAACTTGGCAGATGGAATGGATCCTACAGGAGGAGGGAATATTCATGTAATCAGTAGAGATCAGTCAACACCTATTATTGAAGTGGAAGGACCCCTCCTTACAGATACACATGTCACATTTAAGGTATGTGCTCCTTGAAATACTTTGCTAAGCAAACTGATTTTCAAGACATAACCCAAAATGAGCTTACTGTGTTTTCTTTATTGTTATATTTAATTTTATGAACAACAGCCAGTATAGCATCTACTGTTACAAAGTGTCTAAACAGTTTTCACTCTTGCATGCTGTATCTGAAAAACATAGGTTTCACAGGACCATTTTATAAACAGAAGGATGGTTTAAAATTTAGTTTACTTTCATTTCTTTTATTTACTAATTATTTCTATATCAAATAGTATGATATGCATGCTTGGAAGCTAAAAACACTCTACAAAGCAATTAAATTACATATTTTATTGTTGTTATATGAATATTTAAAACACTTTAAAAGGAAACATGAGTGCACCTACATTATTTATAATTTCTCATCTTTTATCCCCATTTTGCATTCCTTGCCAGTAGTAAGGAATTATTTACTTAAATTATACATTAACAGTTTCTTATCACACAAATAGTTATGATAGACTATAGGAATAGTTGGAAAGATCCTGTTCATTATTTAGTTGATAATAAACATTTATTTATGCTTCAATTATGCACAGTGTACCATACTTTTATTTCTTGCAGCTGACAATGCCCAGTCCAATGCCAGAGTACCTTAATGTTCATTATATCTGTGAGTCAGCATCACGACTACTATTCCTCTCTATGCACTGGGCAAGGTCCATACCAGCTTTTCAAGCACTTGGGTAAACAGACATTTTTCTGTTGAACAGTTTGTTTTCTATTGAATTTAAGTACCAATCAGAACACTTTTCAACTATTAGGAATTTCTGTTTAATTACGTTTTTTAGTTTTTAATTCTTTTAAATATGTTAAGGCTGTGCAATACGTTTTTTGAAGAACAAAGATGGCAGTGTGTACAGTATCTACTATCACAGTAAAAGCTGAATTAAAAGCATTTAATTTGTAGAAATACATCTTTATAAAAAACTGGTGAGCACCATTCAACAGATAACCTGAAATAGATTCCTGTAATCAGGAATTGTTCTTTGTAATTCTTGTTGTGTGCTAATACAGGCCTGATAAAATTATTTAGAATACATTAATCCTTATTATTATTTTTAAGAATTAGCCTCCTTACTGTAGGTTAATACCAACATGATATGAACACTAGCTACAGCTGTTTGATTCTGCGTTGCTTACAGGCAGGACTGTAATACAGGCCTTGTGCGCGCCTGCTGGAATGAGCTATTCACCTTAGGCCTTGCACAGTGTGCACAGGTGATGAGTTTGTCTACCATCCTAGCAGCTATTGTCAACCACCTCCAGAACAGCATACAGGAAGGTATGTGTTCAGTGTATGTCACTTGCAGATGATTTGTCCTGTCAGGTACAGGGTGAGAAACTGATATTAGAATGTAAATAACACTTTTTCACAAGCTGTTTTCTGATGGGTGACAGTATTGTTCCCCATGATCCAGAAGAATCCTTTAACTGTATGATTACCTCTCCCCTGAGGGTCTCTGGACTTTGTTGCACTAACTTCACAGACATTTCAGTGGGACAGAAATGTCCACAGAAGAAATGTGGATAAGGATAGAAAAGATAGAATACTTTTCTCCTACATCATCTACAACTGGCGAGCAATGTACCGAAAGACTATCGCATCCTAAAGTCATGGTGCATTCGCAGAGCTGCCCTCCTATCCAAATGTAAATTTACTTTTTCATGTTAGAATAATGATGCTTTTTCTCTTATTTTTTTTCCTTCCMAAACCTCCCTTTTAAAGTGTTAAACTATAGCATTTGCTGAGTACCACAACAAGAATATCCTTGCAAGTTTAATGACTTTGGATACTGCTATATAATACAATAATATTTTTTTCAGAAGGTCAGAGGATCCTTTCAGATCCTACACTACAGTGGATTAAAAATTCACTTCTAAAAGTATAAATATAGGAAAAGTAGCACTGCCATTACTGCTATAGCATTCACTTACGTGGAAGTTAAATGAATGCTGATTAAAGTTAATATTAAAAATTACATGATAGCATGCGTTTTGTACTTGTAGAATAATTTGATAGAATAATTTATATGGCAAAATTATGCACAAGAGTTAACATTCTGTTTGTAAGCCCTGTATCTAACTCAGCTTTATAAGCCTTCACTCCCATAATCATTCCTCCATCCTCACAATATTGTTAAGTGGTTTTAAGACATCAAATAAAACAAAATGTTTTAAACTGGCTCTTTGCCTGTTTTAAAAAAAGTGTTCCTTGAGCCTTTTTTTTTTTTTTTTTTTTTAAAATAAGCTTTATGGAGACAGAATAAGGCAAGTGATGGAACACGTGTGCTAACTTCAGGAGTTCTGTAACAGCATGGCCAAGCTTGATATTGATGGATATGAATATGCATATCTTAAAGCTATAGTCCTCTTTAGCCCTGGTAAGGAATTTAGTAATTGTATCTTTTTAAATGATGAGCTGCATATGTTAATAGTTCTAGCATTCGCTTATTTAAGAGACTACTATCCTGAGATCAGACTTTTTTGTTAACTTGTTTGTAAAATAGTCAATTGTTTCGTAATGATTTATCATTAAAAGTATACCTTTTAACAATAACTTTTGTAAGGAGCAACATGTCCTGGCTATCTACAGTTCAATTATTTATTTTCTGTACACCCACTTTAGAAGACTAGATTCTCAGTCATTTCCTTCCCTATCTAAGCTTTTCTGCTTAGGAAGCTGCGAATCTAACAACAATTAGTTACCAGCTGTGTATAGTAGCACTATTTGTGAATTAAAAATCAAGAATGGTTAGAGAAAATATATTTTCAAAGTCACAAAAGGTTATAGGCTTCAATGTTAATATTTTTAAGAGACTTTTAAGTGGGATGGAATATGAAATGTGAGCAGAAAATATAATGTATTTTATATGGAGCTTTCAGAAAAATCCAAAAGGTAAATGTAAGCAAACTGTCTCCCTTCCATTAAAAAATGACAGCAGATCAACTGATACATGATAAGCAGTGTTTATGAGATACAAGGATTTACTAAAGGAGGTCTTTCGATTTGTGTAATGATAAGGCTATAAGAGAAATGGGAGGCATCTGTCTTTTGGGATACAGGAGGAGGAATGCTACTAGAATACCAAAAGTTTACCTTAAAACTGAATGAAAGGGAGGCTATCGCTCAAAAAGGTAAATTATTTACTTTAAATCAAGTATGTTGCTGCTTTAACAAATTATCCAAAAAAAAAGAATATTTTGTAATCTATTTCCTTTCTGCATATATACTATTTTCTCTTTATAATAAAATTTAATTTAATTAGAAGATTTTGGTGTCCTGAAACTTTGCTTTTGGAAATTTCTTGCAGATTTTATCACTAGATTTAACGTGAATTTTATTCTAGTCTGTGAGGAGAGAAACTCTCCAAACGTGGACTAGCTCCCTGCCCTTTCAAGGGAAGAGCTGCTTGAACGCAGGAATGAAGATACTTTGTCATAGTCAGATAATGTGATATTCTCTGGGTTTGTTTTGGGTTTTTTTTTTTTTCTTTTTTCTTTCCAATCCCCCTCAAAATTGCGTGACTATCTTTGAGGAGCTGATTCAGAGTTAGAACATGGAACAAAGCTGAGAAAGTCAGGAAGTTGGCCTGTCAGGGGAAAGAAACATAGATTTCTCCATTTTTATAGTTAGTCAAAATCACAGAGCCAAATAAAAATAAATGGAAAAAAAAATAAGCAGAGTTAGAAACATAAATTAGGACTATCATTGTCTGCTGCCTGATATATACCTACAAGATTGATCTTTTCCTGCTTTCCTATGGATGCAGTCAGCTCTTGAGGAGGGCGGGGGGAAAAGGTATGTTAACTCTAAAGCTAGGAAGTAAATTTCAATTTAATGGTTTTCTTTATGCAGCTAATGCATCAAATAAGTATTTAAATGAATAAACCCTGTAACTACATATATTTCATAATGTATAGGGAAACACTCGACATACAGAAATGTTTTGTTTCTTTAGATCACCCTGGTCTGACCAGTTCAACCCAAATAGAAAAATTCCAGGAGAAGGCACAGATGGAATTGCAGGACTATGTACAAAAAACCTATCCAGAAGATACTTATAGGTATTTATTGTCTGTAGTACCCAAAATAATGTTATAGGCCATAGCTGACAAAGGTACAAAACAACCTGACATGAAAATGTCCTTTTTGATATCTGTTCTCTTTTGACAGTTAGAATCCTCATTCATAGAATTCAGCTAGAACTTCATTCATAAAATAAAGCAGATTCATTTAAATAGAGCAAAAACAAGAAGTTTAACTTCTTACATTAGTTTCCAAACTAAACTGTATACTTCGTTCTTTTTCTTTAATTGTCTTTAATTTCAATGTTTAGAAAAGGAGACAGACATAGTTTAATAGAAGTCTTCAGAATAACTGCCTTACACATTTTGCCTTTGATTAAAATGATGCCTCACTTTTCAATTTGGAGTAGTCAAAGTGGTTCTGAGATAATAAAAGGCTACTTGTATCCTTTTAATGTTTGTCAAGTTACATTCTTAGAAAGGTATTAAAACTGTCAGTTTATAGTTTATAACTGTCTGTTGTCTTCTGAGAATAAGAAATTCTCACTTCCTGCTTTCCTTTCCCTCCATATTTATTTCTGAGTATTTCCATTTGAAACTATCTGATCTTTTTAGTCATTTCTCATCTGTCCTTGCTTACTATTTGCTAGAAATAATTACCTTTTTCCCCCCCACTCCCCCTTGCTCCCCTCATTCCCCCCCTTTCTCCTCCTTTCCCCCTTCCCTCCCTTTTCCCCGCCCTTTTCCCCGCCCTTTTCCCCGCCCTTTTCCCCGCCCTTTTCCCCGCCCTTTTCCCCCGCTTTTTTTCCTTTTTTTCCTTTTTTTCCTTTATTTTTTTTTCCTTTCTTTCCTTTTTTTTCTATCAAAGCTCGTTATTTTTCAGCTTCACTGCCACAATGATTCAGAATGCCAGAACGGAAATTCTAACCACTCTGTAGTCATCTATCCTATAATTTCTTTTCCTATGAAAGTAACCCCCTTGTGGAAGAAGCATACAATCCTTTACACTTAAAAAATGGTTGATGGTAGTGCAGCATTTTTTTAAAGGATGGGGAGAGGATGTTAACGCTGGGTCAAGAGATGGTACATCAGGATTCCTAGCTGTGTAGTTAAAAAAAAACCCTGGTAGCTATGATGTTGCATCAATACTTTAATCATTTACCCAGTCTTTTTACTGGAGTGGAGATAGGAATCCCTGCTTCAGAAATATCCTCAGATATTTCTTCCTTCAGCAATTTAATCTGGCTTTGTGCAAGAAAATTTCTCCATTTAAAAAAAAAAAAAAAGATTTGTTGTGTTCACTTAGTGTTCTTAACAATCACTCAAGGAAGAAAATCAGAGTCACAACCTCCAAACTTTCCTCTGTTTTAATTGATATTCTTTATTCCCCTATGCTCACCCATAGATGAACTTAAAGTACATGAAATGATTATTTCTGAGAAACTGAATGCTGACATAAATTCTGATTGAAGCAAAAATGTTACAGCTTTCACAAAAATGGTGGCATGACTTGAATCTTTTTTGCCGATTTCATCTAATGTTTACAAAAGGGCTTACAGAAAGGCCTACATACTTCTTCCGCAAGTGCTTATGCATCCTTCCAAGGTCTTTATTCAACCTTGCCTAAAGCTTGTTATTACTTGCCTTCAGTCCAGAAAATTTATTTATTTTGACCTTTGTGACATGTATCTGCTGTGTAAACACAATAGATATTTTTGCAAAATTATTCTGTATTTAAAATGCATTAAAAGCCCAGAAGTGCAATGTGATCACTTCTTTATATTGCATATATGCTAACATCCTGATACATGAAAATCCATGTTATTTGAAAATATATAACATCAGAATCCTCCAAATTCCTTTTCTCAATAGAAGGAGATTCCCTTATTCCCTTTCACACGTACCCAGTCTCTCTTGCTGCCTGGTTTGTCATTAAGTTACTAGGCAACAAGAACTATGTTGTTCATGATTTACATTCTCATTAAGAATTCTGCTCTTAAAATTGTCTAAATGTGTTCATTGATGTGAATGTTATTAGTCTCAACATGATCCTGAATTGCGAAGTTCTTCCAGATCTAGGAATTTCAGAAGCAGACTAGGAGAATTATATGTTTGTACATAYACATTGTTATTTTAATGGCCTTTTYCCTGGAGAACCACTAAGAAAGATGGGGGCTTTTCATTTCTCTTGCAGGATAGAAAAGTAACCATTCTTTTCATAGTAGCTAAATTAACTTTAATTCCTTCTTTACTCTCCTTCATGATAATAAATGCAAAACAAAATCTTTAGACACACAGTATTTTAAACTTGCATTATTTGTATTTATAATTCACTAAACTTCTTTTTTCAGGCTAGCCCGGATTCTAGTTCGCCTGCCAGCACTTAGGCTGATGAGCTCTAGCATTACTGAGGAACTATTTTTTACTGGTCTCATTGGAAATGTTCCAATTGACAGCATAATTCCCTACATTCTCAAAATGGAAACAGCAGAATATAATGGTCAAATAACTGGCACATCTGCATAGTGGGAACAATACAATTTGATGGATCAAAATAATTTTCATAAAAACATATATTTAAGAGAAAGAAGTTAAAAGAATACCAGTTTGGTATGTACAGATATTTACAACTTACTATTTAATTTCCTATCAGATTTCTTCTCATCTGTCTGCTGACTTTGACAAAATTTAAGCAGCTTTTAAATGATCTGTATTAGGACCTTTTCTGCCACAAGGAATGTTTCTGATGCCTTTCCTTCAAAAGGCTATAGATTACTGAACGTACTTTTAACATGCTTTGTATTTAGAAATTATTGGTGGTTAAAAATAGTTTTATAATATCAGAGATTAGTAATGAAATTACTTTAAAAGAACAATATGTATATATTTTAAAAATGTCCTTGGAATTAATATCTAGTAATTGCCAGGGTATGATATTAGCACTTTGTAAGCACTTCTTGTCAAAGCGATAGTCATCAACATCCTGCTTATGAGTAGGGAAAATATAAAGTTGTGTATGTCCTTAGTAAAAATGCTAATGATTTCTGTGAAAATGTGGCTACAGGAGACAATCATTTATTCTGCAAAAAGTCACTTGTTCTCATCTTATGCATTAAATAATGTGGATCCTTAACTCGGATTTCCACATTATATGGCACTATATTAAATTAGTGCAGCTGTGATTAAAAGCATGGTATAAGCATAATGACTGGAACGTGCTATGAAAATTACCCAAACTAGAGGATAGAATTTGAGTTCCGTGCCACAGTGACGATGAAATATTCAAGATTTCTCAAAGCATCTACTCAGCCTGGCGCTGATGTTTACACAATCCTGACATATACTCTAATAACTAGGGAAATTAGTCATTAACTGTGGAAACGGTCTTTTTCACTTAGAGCTGCATGGTGCTCTTTGAGTACACTTGGTGTATTTTCCAATTTGCTCCTCCACTCTGTACTCATCATCCAACCAAAGTTACAATTTAAAATGTAAAATGTTCAGAACCTCTAGCTGTCCGGAAGAATCTATCATAAAACTCTTCCTCACCATCCTTCCATGGGACTGAGCATTCCTCCTTTCGCAAAGCTCTCCATCTTCACGTGACTCAGCTCGAACCTGAGTTTTAGTTGTGATTTACCCTCAGTCATAAAAAAATGCAGTTTATAGTTGATATAGCATGGGGTGGTAAAATGAACTTTTTTCAAAATTGTTTGGAGTGGTGAGACATCACCACATTTTCTTGAACTGACCATTTCCTGATAACATTGCTTTAATTTTATTTTATTAACATTCAGATTCATGGTTTAACTTTTTTTTTCCGAGTCATAACGATTATTCCTTCATCAGATTATGGCTTATTAGAAACAATAATTATTTTATTGATTTCTACAGCAGAGGCATTTGCTTCTTGTATATTTTTACATGACAAAAAATCTAATGATAATTTCAGCACTTTTGATTACTTCTGATGTTAACATTGATTTAGAAGGTTGGCATTTGTGTCTTTTAAGGGTCTGAATTTAAAGGTCTGACAAAGTCCTTAAGCAACTTTAATGAAGCTACTAATGTAGTAATGTAGTAATATCATTCTCACGTTTGTAATGCTCATTGTGACAAGGAAGGCTATGAAATTTTAGCTTCTAGGTGCATTATTATAAAGAGTCCAATCTAAATGCAGAGATCAGTTATGTTTCACTTACTTTTCTTTGAGCTTTTCCTATGGCAAGTGAAATTGTTGTATATTTAATGTGAAGAAAAGGCCCCCCATACTGAATATCAAGTCAACTGGAATGCAGAATGTTGTATTAACTGTGGTATTTCAGTGTCATTCTTATGTGATAGTATCAGGACCTTGGATATGAAGTCCCTGTTTTAAGGGTATAGAACTTAAAAATTAATTGTGGCTTTAACAACAAAGTACCTACCTATGGTAAAATGTTACTTTTTGTAAATGAGGTATTGCAAGGCAATCCATATCTTGGATTTATTTTTTAAAATATCATGGATCCATTTAAGAGATATGTATTATCACYTGACATCTATAAAACTTCTCTCTGTGTAGCATCTTCAGCATGAATTTTTGGGTTACATTAGTCAAAGGCAACCTATTCTAGTCCTCATGCTGATAGAAAAGCAGTACTATTTTGAATCAAAGAGTAACAGTTTGGATTGTAGAAATTTTGACAGCAGATGGTGGATCTCACAACTTAAGAAACATTCAGAATCTAAAATGTTTTTAGTATTTGAATGTAAGTCATAAATAATAATGCAGATGTGAAAAATAACTTTATATTTCTTGCTCACATGAGTATTTGAGGACTATCATAAATGTGAGTTAAAAATTTGGCATGCTATTGACAGACACTGAAAGAAATCACTTAAAACAGTGCCATGGTAAAATTATAAATCATATTCTATAATGTAGTAGGGTTCCTTTGCACTACTTTCAAGTGCAATCTGTCAGGGAACCGATTTTAATTGCTTTGAAGAAATTTTCATCTCTTCCACTTATCATTAATAAGGGATGGACATCCCAGAAGCACAGAACTGATGAAGGGGTTTTTTTCTGCTCTCCGTTTAAGTGTTCCCATGAGAGCAATGAAAAGGCATAGCTAAGGAAAATGGGCTTTGCCAAGTTGTTCTTGGCCTATGAAGATCTTCGGCATTATTTTCAGCCAGTTCTGGTGACTGGACATTCAGGCCATCCTAATATGATGAAGGTAAAATCACCTATGATATGGCTTAGGGTTAAGTGAGTTTTAAACTATCTTTGCATATGATTTACCTAGTTTACAGTTTAGCTATCCCATAAATTCTGAATCCATGTAATCCCCTGTGTTACTGAAGAGAAGTGGTTATCATTATTGGGGGGGGGGGGGGAGTGGGTCATGTCATTTTTGAGATTCCCTTTACCCTTAGTAATTGGAAAATAGTAATGGACTAACCTCACTAATATTACTTTTTATGAGTTTCACTTAATTTTTCTGCAAAGGGAGCATTCAACTTGTGAGCATGAAAGAGTATTATTCATTGTTTGTTGTAACAAAACTGTTGAAACCGTTTGTTTTAAGTATGGAAAAAGCGTTTTTTTGTTTTGGTGTGGTTTTCTCCATGAAGGCCTGACTTCAAGGCCAGACCAGACTTTACAGAACTGGAAGTCAAAGAACCATAGTCTGAGGCTGATTCTGAGAGAAGTGACATCTCACCAAAGCTTTATTTAGTGCCTAAAATTTATACTCTCCATCACTTTCTAGGTCCTGTTTCTGATACTCATAAATTTAAAATATCTTAACTTAGTAAAAAAATAGTGCYGAAACATCTGATTAGAGCTATCTGAACTTGAGTACATGTGCACATCAGTAATAATTCAGACCAGAGTTAGAATTCTGTGCTGATTGAAGCTGTGACATGTAGGAGTGATAATGAGTCAACAAAAGGACATGATCCATTTTTTTTTCCAGCTCCTTTTAAGAAGGAATTGGCTTAGGATCTTGCAAATACAGAAGAATAATGATCAATGAATCTATAGGGCGTTTGCATTTAGCTTTGTACTAATGCTTTTTGTTGCATTTATGTTGGGGCAAAAAGCGAACATTTATTTTACTCACATGGGTTTTATAAGACATAGAGCTAAGACTACATGCAAAAGCCAAGTTTTTCTGCTCATTTACATTGTTTTTAAGTTAGATCTAATGCTTTTGGTATTCGTGAAATTATTTTTGTGCAGAACTGGTAGGAGAAGGAAGAGAATGAATTTCAAGGATTTAAATAAAATTTGAGAAGAGATATAAAAGCCTGTATTTTAGCTGCCTCAAAATGATAGATCATTAAGGAAGCTTAGGGTTCAGAGTGCCCTGAGGCATAAAACTTGCTGGTCACAGCTTGTTACTTGGTATCACTTGGACCATAGAGTAGCTATAAGGCCTCCAGGGAATAGCACTGGCTGAAGGAGGTTCCTGTACTGAAAACAACCGACCTCTGCATTGTCTTGACTTTGCCCTTTAGCAAATGTGGAATAGGGAGAAGAAAAGTGTTATATTCCAGGCCAAAACAGTCTCCTCAGGGCTTATTTTAAAAATGGCAAGTCAAACACGCATTTGTGTCTACTAAACATTTTAACAAACTAGAGTCCATGAACTATGATAACTTGATTGTCCAGTTCTAGAGCATGCTGTAGCTTCAGCTGCTGCTGACTGCCGTTATCTTGGGATGTCTACGTATTATGCAAGGAACCAGCTATCTGTAATACAAATGCTGCTTAATGATTAAAGACCAGGTGCATCATCAGATACCTGTAGGACCACATCCCCCAGGGAAAACATACATATATATATATAAAAAAAAAATGCATATATATATAATATATATATTATATATATTATATATGTAATATATATATTCTTTGTTCTTTCATTGGAAATCTCCTCTTGTTCACTTACTATTTAGAGAGTAGGGTAGGTCATTTTAACAGTAAATTCCTTCAGTTTTAAGTTTTGGTTTAGCATTTGACTAAAGATGCTATAATTCCTCTTGTTAAATTATGATACAGTCCTGTTCCAGTTATGATACAATCCAGCTGCAGTTGATGATACTAACATTAAATCTGAAGTTTGTGCCAAAACAAATAAATAAACTGAAGCTGCAAGTCACATTCTCCTTAAAATTTAAATTCCCTAAGTCTAATATATTATAGACTTGGCAAACACTAGACCACAGAATTATCTTATTTCAGAGCTTTCTTTTGTGAAGTCGTGCTAAGTTTATCATGAGTAATACCATCATAATGTTCCCTAGGTCCCATAGTGTGTTTTATCCTCTGAGTTAGAGAATTGCTTTTAAAATAGCTTATTATTAAAATCGTAGCTTTCTTTCTCTCCTGTTTTTAAAGGCTTTGATAGATTTTTATACGTTTTTATTTTGTGCCTCCTACCACTGCATTTCTGCATATTCAATGTTAGAATTCAAATAGTTAATGTATATATTGTATATATGCGTGTATGAATGTATATGTATTTATATCTGTCTAAATATACTATGTACAGTGTATAGAAATTGTGTAGTGAAAGTGTGTACATATGTACAGATATGTAGCCATGTATTCATACTGTTCTACATGTTGAAGCTTTTCATTGATTTGCTAATCCAGAACTTCCTAGTTCTCCCTCGTTCTCATATCTTGGTCCAAATTAAGCTGTTGCTTAACAGATGCATCCCCAAGAACTTCAGAGCTTTGCACCTTTTTTAAAAACCTATCTTGAATCTGGTATTTTGTGTTCAGTACTGACAAATATATACCATGCTATTTGAGTCTTTTAGATTATTCTCTATCTTTTTTCACTTGCTCTGTTGAAGTCAACCAGTGAAGAGCTAACTATAATGTCATTGTTAAATAAACTAATTCACATAACTAGTTCACATTCATGAACAGAATATTACCTCTCCATTGTTAGTGTACACTTGTTCTCTTCCAACCTTCCTAGATAATTTTTTTTTGTAAAGTTTTTATTTCATAGTGAAACTTGATAAGTGGACTGTTTTAAGTCTTCCGCAGTGATGAACTAGAAGAAAAATTGCCCTGTATTGTAGAACAGTAGCAGACAGAGCAGGATGCAAGGGATGACATTTTAAAAATCACCAGTCATATTTCTATAACATTAGCATGAAACCATACTGTTAATTAAACTAAGACTATGTCTTCTGTTTAGTGAAAGAATTACATTCCTGCTAGAGTGATAGTTGAATAGGAGTTCACAAGTAGTTTAATTTATGACCATCGAGACTTTCTTAGAATTTTCACAGGGTGTTTCATTTATATATCTACAATTTTTACAATCTGATATTTTTATTTCTTCAAGTTAATTTATTCTTTAGTTCAAATATCTCAATTTTCTCCTATCTTAAAAGATTTTTTTTCCAAATTTAGTTTTGTTTTGAATGAAAGATCTGAGCCACTGATAACTATTTCTAGTATTATTAAGCCTTCATCCTCTTCCCAATCTTTTACCAACACTAGTTTTCATTTTGTAGATCATGGCTTCCCTTTCTCATCAATTTGAAAAATTGTCAGTAAGATCCATCTTCTAAAGTCATTCTCTCTATTTTGTAGTTTGAAGAAAACAAAGCTGATGAGTTTGTTAAGCTGTCAAGATAGCATCCATTTTTATGTTTTATCCTTTCCTGAAACTGCAGTCTGTTCATGAAACTTCTCTGTTCACAGTGGAACTAAGCACACAAACATTCATAAAATTAGACTTGCAACCAGACCAGATTTATACTGTCTATAGAGGGAGTATTCAGCATTTAAATTATCAAAACATAAGCAGTTTCCTTTTCCTTGGAGTTGCATAGGAAGCCTGTAGAAGTATTAACCTTAGGAAAAAAAAAAGTTTTATGAGAGTAGTTAGCATGTCTTTGTTTATGTCCCATTAAGAAAGTGAAACACTGTTTCTGAGCAATTATTTCCACCTGATGGAATCAATGTGGCAAAGACTTGTGTATGTTTAAGTAGATGAGCAGAAACAAAGGAAAATCATGTCACGTTCTTGCACACTCAAAGGAAGAGCAGAAGTCTCTTGTGGAATTAGGCCGTTTAGTTTGTAAATTCTCTACCATGAAGAATGCTAAGAGCATTCTCTGTTTCTTGCAGTATTGTTTGGTAGGCATTTGTAAGCTTTCATTTTAAATATAGAATCTGTAAAACACATTTTTGACATTTCAGGCCTTATTTCTGAGATCTTCAGCAAGAAATTCCCCATATAAATTAAAGGCAGGAATTCCTGAGACTGATGATCCTTCATTAGTKTCATGACAATCAGCTCTTTGAATAATATTTGCTAAAAGCAGAGTGAGCGGAAACCCAAATGTCTTAAAATGTTACTCTACTGTAGTAACATTTTTGAAGATTAAGAAATAGACTGGGGTAGAGTTTAGCATAGAAGCTGTTTTTAAAAAGTAAACTGTGAATTTAGAAAATGAACGTACTTTGAGATTGTGAATCTGCTTATATATGCATTTGAATTATATTTGAGTGCATTTTGTGCTTCACATACAAGTGGGAATAAAGGGTATGCTGCAATATTATACAGCAAATGTGGAATGTGAAATCAGCTCTCTATTTGATCACAGGAAACTGAAGTCTGAGAACCATGCTTATTGTCAGGTAGCCAACACCTGGGAATAATTGCTTTCTTGTACGTTTAAAAATGAACTTACATTAAATGAGAAAGCAGGAACAGGTCCATTTTAAAATGTTTTTGATGCTTGTGAGTTAAATATTGGACTGAATAAATTTCAAATAAAATGGCTATTCTTTATAAAGAAACATTATTGGCATAACTTTAAATCCCTGTGTGGTAAAATATATATGCAATATTTTGGAATATTTTTGTAATTCCTCTCCAAAATACATTGTAAACCAGTGTTCAAACAGTTTTATAAGTGAAAAGCTGCACATTGTGTGAGTGTTGTATGTATTTGGCATACCAGAAAGTTATGAGCTTGTACAAAAATATCCCCTCGCCTTTTTTTTTTCCTTAAAAAAGGGGATTATCAACCTTAATTCTTTGGGTTATTTTCTGGAAGTCTCTTCATCATCATTTAGGAAGCTATTGTTTATGTAACTGTATTTTCATTTCAAGTTTAAAAACTCACAGAAGTTGTTCATTTTTCACAGCTTCTCTTGTGAAATCAGCATTGTATGTATGATGGCGTTTAAAAGTAATAGCATGTTCTCCTTTTTTATATGAATTTTATATCTAATCAATGTCCTCAGTCATGAAGAGGAATTTGCATTGTTGTGTTTGTATATAGAGTATTGCAGTGCATGATTAGCTTATGCATTTTATTAAATGCTGTTTAAATGTGGCATTATATTGTTGTGGCTTAATACTACTACCTAAATGAGGTTTATACTATTAAAGTGAATCACAAATATAAATGTGTTCTTGATTTTAAGTTCATTTCTTCTGAAACAAGCATCAAATAGATCATTTACTGTCTTACAAGGGGAAATAATATTTTCCTTTCATTATCTTGTTAGTGATTTAACTAGCTCTAATAGAAGATCAGTCCCACAAACCTTGCTAATGCCAAGCAGCTACTTCTCTGAACAAGTTGAAGATTTTTTTTCCCAAAAGGTTTTCATTCATCTTTTTTAGCCATCTGTTTTCCCCTAAATATAATTGAGGGGATAGATCTTAACAAATACCTGTTTACTTATACCTGGCAGTSCTTTTCTACCCTAACCACCTCCCGTTTTGAAATTAAAGTGGTGGGATCTTTCCATACACATAACTGAGTGGAGATGGACTCTATTCAAAGCAGTAGGGTTTTGTACAGATTAAGCACTTGTTTATATGGAGAAGATGGTTAACTTTATTTTTGTTGCTGTTAAAAATTCTACAATTTAGAAAAAAAATCACTTAAGCGGAAACAGGAGACAAACAAGATGAGCACAGAGAAGGGCCTGCTTTCTCCCAGGAGCACCACAGTTAGTCTTCCATGGAGTTGAAGTCAGGTGCTGACCTTGTTTATTTTGTGACACCCGTGTGTGAATAGATGATCCTTTGCCACCAGCGACCGTGCTCACGTCCCTGGGTACTTAGTCAGACTGTTACAAATGAGAAAGCCTCTAGCAAAGAAACGGGCAGGGAGCTCTGGAGGCTGCAGCTCAAGAGGATGGTTCTTTGGCCAAATTTGTGAGGGACCTCTCAATAACATCCAGCCTGTGCCAGGGATAAATGCAAGGAATTGGGGAAACTTGTCGAGCAAAGATGCATTTGTCCTGTTTGACAGAACTGTATGGGTAATTGTAAAAAAAAAAAATAAATAAATAAATAAAAAAAAATAGATGTGTTCACTTAACAACATTTGCATCTCGGCAGCAAAACAAAAACTTTATTATCAATAGAGATAAAAAAAAACCCCAATCTTTATCAAGATATAAGATTACTACAAAAGACAACTAGAAAAAAAAATGCCTGTGATGAGTTTTTGCAGCCCTTTCCCCTCTTTTCTTCCCCCCATCTTTCAGCTAGTTTCTTTTTCCATTACATTCCTGATACTAGTTATTACTTATTTCTCGCTCTTAAAAGTTTCAAACGTTTTTTCCTGCCCCTTTAAGAGCGTCTTTTCCGCCCAAAGTCCCTCGTGGCGCCGCCCTGCAGCGCCGGCCCTCGCGAAGGGACGCGGGGCCCTGAGGGCGGGGCCGCCGCTGCCAGGGCTGAGGGGCGCGGGTGGGGAGGGGCGGCGCCAGCCGCCATTTCCGCGGCGCCTCGCGCGGGGCGGCACCAACCGCCATTTCCGCATCCCGCAGGCAGCCGGCGCCATGCCGATGAAGGGCCGCTTCCCCGTCCGGCGCACGCTGCAGTACCTCAGCCAGGGCGACATCATCTTCAAGAGCTCGGTGAAGGTGATGACCGTGAATTACAATACAGCGGGCGAGCTCAGCGAGGGCGCCAGGTGAGCGCGGCGCAGGCAGGGAGGCGGCGCCTGGCTGCGCCTGCCCTGGACCAGCGTCTCCTTCGCTTCTTCCTTCCAGGAAGTTCGTATTTTTCAACATCCCCCAGATCCAGTACAAGAACCCCTGGGTGCAGATCATGCTCTTCAGGAACATGACGCCCTCACCCTTCCTCCGCTTCTACCTGGGTAGGTGCGGCCGGGCCGGGTCCCCGGTGCTGTGGAGGCTCCTCTGTGCCCTCGGGCCCTGCAGCGGGTGCGGCAGGAACGCACTGCGCCCGCGGAAGCCGCTGCAGCCCGCAGGGTTCGTGCCCCGGTGCCCGTGGCATGGGCGCTGCGACCGGAGCAGCGCTGCCCTCAGCCGTGTTGGGCGCGGTGCTGCTGAGCCCCTCCCTGCAGCACACGTAGTGGAAGGGGTTGCCTGGAAGTTGCCTTCTCAGTCGCCTTCTAACTATACAATTTTTTTCTGGCAGACAGTGGAGAACAAGTTTTAGTCGATGTGGAAGATAAAACCAACAAGGAGATAACAGAACACATTAAAAAAATCTTGGGGAAAAGCAAGTAAGTAACACAGGCAAGTAGGCATCATAGTATGGGTGTGTAGATGAGACTTCATTTTATCACAGAAAAGGGCTATTAGCCAGATAAAGCCCGCAGAGCAGGACCTGTTTGGGTGCTCAGTGCTCAAGTAAGTGGAGCTGGAGGGAGAGGGACTGCTGGCAGTAACAATGGGATCTCTCATTTTAGAGAAACACTTGAAAAAGAGGAAAAGGAAAGAAAAAAACTATCACATCCTGCAACTTTTGGTCCCAAGAAATACCACCTGCGAGAGTGCATGTGTGAAATTGAAGGCCAGGTTCCCTGCCCTGCTTTTGTACCACTTCCCAAAGAAATGAGGGGCAAATACAAAGCGGCTATGAAAAATGAAGCATCAGCCTAACCCCTTTAGCCCTGCACTTGCTCCCTCGCAGCGGGATGATCGAGGTGCTTCCCTGAGAGACAGCGCTATTGGCTCTGGGAAAAGGACTTACATAACAGACATACTTGCCTTGTAACTTTTCACAGATAGAATAATTCAAGGAAAAAATATTCTTAAATCTAAATTTAAAAAATGCCAGATGTAGTAAGTATTGCTATGCCTGAAAGCAAGGAAAATGGTGCAACCATAGTCATTTCCTACTCCTGCCTACTTTCATCCTGTCACAGCATCTTGTAAACTCAAAACCACTTCCCTGTTTGTAGGAGATGGAGAGAATAATTTTTTAGGCTACTTTTTCCCTAGAACTCTTAGGAGTTTTAAGGCATTCAAAAAATGTACCTGCTTCTCTTTCTTGTAATAAAGGAAAACAGCTAAACCGTAAGTGCTGAGTTTTGTTTTTAAAAATTAGTTACTGCTCAGAAAACGCATCTTTTTTTTTTTTTCAATCATGCCACTTGTAACTGACACTGCACCTTTGAGAGACATTGGGAGTGAAGAATACGGTATCAGCAGTAGAAAAGAATTTTAAAGTTGTATTTGAAAGATGCCATGTCTGCTTATTATCCTTCCCCCCCCCTTTTTTTTTTCCAATAACTCTTTTAAGTGAAGACATTTTCAGAAACAGACCATTTCTTTAAGAATCATGCTCATTGAAACTATATTCGGAGAATTTACTCAACTAAAAGTAAGTTCTAGCCAAATCAGTTGGGCTTAAAAGTCATCAGACACAGAACACAAAATAAACATGTTATTTTATTTGATCTCTTACAAAGTTTCCATAGAGTAGTGCATGCAATTTTAGTAAATGTCAATGCTACTTATTGAGCTTTATAGTTAAATGTCTTCATTGTGTTGTGCCTTGTAAGCTCCACAGAAGTCCAAGTACCAGCACAGGGTTTTCCCTTTGGAGATGTATGACTTTCAGATTAGACATCTAACATATCTATCACTTAACACTGACAAAAATCATGAGGTATGCTAGTCTCTTACCTGCTTGTAAAAATTACTACATACACAATAAGGATAATTTATTAGTGTATTAGACTGTAAAATACAAGCAAGGCAGGATATTTGCAACAAGAGRAAAGAACAAACACTTTAATAACATAAAAGCTGAAGTCACTGAAATACTCTTTTCCTGTTGAAACCAAAAGAAATTCCCAATTACCATGCAAGGGATCTTCTTGACAGTGAACAAATCTGTCTTAAATAACTACTTTATAATATTTCTTTTAAAGCAAGAAATTCCAGGGATTAAGTTTAGCTCTATTAGAAATTGCCTTCATAAATTTGGTGGCACTTCTCACTTGAGTCTGTTTACAAATCAGTCCTCTGTTATTCACTTACTGCAAAATAACACTCATGGGCTCAGAGTTTTCTAAATACAGATATCTTAGTATAAAAACTTCAAAAATTTGCCTTTAATCAAGATGATCAGTTTTGCATAACTTACACCTTCACTTGGACTATACTAGTATGAAGAAGGTCAGTTGTCCTTAAGAGCCTGCTGTTATTTTGATCAGTTATTAGTGTCACTAACTGACAATATAAATATGGAAGTTATGGAAGTCCCTAGCTCAACCTATCAACAATAAAAAAAACTACAATTCCTACTGTTCAGGTAATACAGATGTTTGTGTGTAGAATCCTATCTAGTGCTTGCACTACAGCTATCCTCCTGCATTATCAGAGGCACAGCTAAATGCAGTGTCCTGTTCCCTAAGAGCCTGCACGCCTGWGCAAGCCTAATGATATTAGTGCCATATAGTGTGACCTGCCCTATTTTCCTCTATTTCACCTTAAATAAGCATACCCTTTAGGTTACCTTCCCCACCACCCTTTTGGACAGAGGTGTCTCACGCTCCGACCTCCACAGAAACTCGGGGTCGGCCTTGTGCAGAGGTAGCGGCTCACTTGTCCCGAGATGATCCCACAGTTTTATAGATACTGTCCTCAGATGCCCAGCTCTGAGCCCTTGTACATCACAGGTGCTGACCTTAAACCACAGTCATACCCCGGATCACAAAATCATAAGCAAAATGCTTGATGAGAAGCTTCTTATTTAAGACAGACATGTTCGTATTTCTTCTATGCAGGATTAAATATAAACCAGAACTGCCTGCTGGTGCTATCACAGCCACAAACTTTGTCTCCAGCTCCCACAGAATTCCAGTTTAGTGGTACTTCAGCTTTCCACTGTAAACAAGATTTCTTTTCCTCAAATGCCCTGCATGGAGGGTTTCAGTCCCACAGATCTGCAAACATGATCATCCTGTCACCTTGAGAAGGGATGCGCAGATTCTGTAAGGTAACTAGGAAGGCTGCCCTTGATATTACTTGAAGCGGTGCTAACCTGATGCTCTGCTCCCTACGAACTAGTGCTCAAATACCCACTCGCACACAAGTATGTCTCTGACCCCAGCACAGCTTTCTCTGTAACACTGTAACTTTTAGAGCACTTGAGAAACTAGAAGGGCTGAAAAGGCAGCCTCCGAAGTTTACTTCAGAATTTTTATAAGCACAAAAAGACTACTAAAGAGATCAGTTTGCAAGTTCTTTTCATGAAGTCCCTTTTATGTATTGGTATTGCACATAATTCATCTGCAGCCTATATATTCTGTAGCTGAAGAATCACAAGCCTTTTAACATTAAGGCTGTATTTCACCTGTGACACTTGCACTACTGTCATTATCAGAGGACATGTGAGGCACAGGAATTTTAGAAAAGTTTTGGTCTCCCATTAGTTGAAGCTCCTTTTGAAAGGCCAATATTACAACCACTACAATAATTCTAATACAGAAAGGAGGTAATGAGGAAGAGATGACAAGACAACCTTGCAACCATTTCTGAATTGATTCCCTATTAACACTTAAACATTTTGACAAAAATAAGCACATGATAAGACCAGTCAGTTTAAAAAGGGCTGTAACAAGTTAACTTTAAAATTTATTACTAAAAGTGTTTGAGACCAGCAGCATGCCAGCATTCTTCAATTTTCATTCTCCAAGATTGAGTAGTGGAAATGTCTAAATAAAAGTGCATAAAACTCAAGATTACAATTCCCTCTCATAACCTATATTCCTCTATAATGATTTGCTCTGCCTTAACATATTTGCACAATGAACTTCAAATATTCATTACATGACCCTGTTGCTGCTTTAGCAGTTCGATTTCTCCTTCTGCTTTGCTAAGGTGCGCTTCAATTCCTTCAAATTCTCTGTCAGCACCTCCACCTCATCCATTCGTCCACTATGTTTGGCATCAAATATATAAGCTTTAATATTATCTATCTGTTGGAGAAGCAGTTCTTCCTCAATAACCTCCTCTCCCAAGAGCTCATTGTCATCGTCCACCTCAAAAGGATTGGTAGAGGATCCCTCTTCAAATGGATTTCCAGAATTCCAATTGTCCCGAGCCTTTTGAGATGTATTTCCAACCTCTTCAAAGGGATTTGAAGTACTGATGGCTGCTCCATCAGGCTGTTCATCCTCCTCCTCCTCATTTTCAAATGGATTATATTCCTTTTTGTCATTCTGCAAAGCTGTATTAGAAAAAGAAGCTACCTGAGAAGTCCCTTTGGCAAACAGGTTAGTAGGGTCTTCCTCCAACTGAGGAGTATTTACATCATCTTCAAAGGGGTTTAGAGATGCTGTCTGATTTTGGTCTTTGTCTCTGTCACCCTGTGGGACATTCTGCGGTTTGACCTGGACAATCAAGTGCTCTTTAGCTGGCAGCTGTTCAACAACTGGAGTTTTAAAACTTGGATTCCTTTCGATCTGAGTAATATCCAAATCCAAAGCAGGTGCTATCAAGTTTTGATCCTCTTTTGCAACTTCATGCTGATGTTGCTTGACTTCTCTGAAGTCTAAGGAACATGTCCTTGTATGCTGAGACACAACTTTGTGGTGTTCTCTTTCCCATTCTTTTTCACAAAGAGCCTGAAGTTCCTCCCTCTGCATCTCCTCCTCTTCTGCTTGTTTTCTAGAAAGCTCAATAGCTTTCTGAGTTTGCTGCTGATCATACTCATCCTGAAGTTGTCTCAGGTTCTCTTGCAACATATGGACCTCATCTATCCGATTAGCTGCCTTTGCTTGCTTAATAAAGGATGTGATATTGTCAATCTGCTGAAGAAGTGGGTCTGCTATCTCACTCTCTCTTGATATGCTAGATGTGGGTAACCAGCCTTCAGATTTCCTTACTGTTCCTTTTTTCAGATGAGTTGCATCACCATTAACTGCAGCTGCAGATCTGGAGATCAAATCTTTCTGCTTTTCTTCTTGTTTTCTGTATGCTTCAAGAGTCACCTAAGACAGATGACATTTAAGAGAACACCATAAGCTTGAAAAGATCAGTTTTTATATCTATAGCTACAAGAATTTAATGATATCTACCTAAGACATTGCTGGTTCCCACTGAAAGAGATCAGCAGCATTTTGGGTTATGTTGTTCATTTACACTTTTCCCACTTTTTAGAAAAAAAAAAACACCTAGGCACAACAGATATTTGCAAGGAATTCTGTCGATTCTCTCAATCTCAGAAATACATCTGTCCGGTAAGTACCTTAGCATACACATTCAGGTCAATGTGAAAAAGCTGACCTCACAACACGAATATGTTCAAAGACAAGTGAGTATCACACTATGGGAAATGTCTGTTTTCACAGTTCTACCTAGATGCTTCTGTTCAGTTCATCTGTGAAGACATTTCTCAAAATCCCATCACATATGCCTGTACAAACTTCAGGCTGAGCATAAGCACTGATGGTCCTGCATATAGAGCAAGTAGCAGCTGTGCAAAATTTGCAAAAAAATGTAAGTGTGTCAAGAGTGCTCACATCTGAACACAGAAGCCACTTCTGTAATGAAGCATCACACAATGTTAAAGGTCATTAATATAATTAGATTATGAAATACAATGTACGACCAAATCTTAGAAAATGAAAATTCATTCTTCCTCAGGCAACTGCACAAAACACACAGCAGGATTCTCAGTTTTTACATTGAGATAAAGCTGGTTTACTGAAATATCAATGATATCTTCCCTCTCTATCCTTTTTCAGATTTAAACAAACAAGCAAAAAAAAAAAAAAAAAGAAAACCCCAAACACACACACAAAAACACCTCCTCTCTGAAAAGGCATCCTCGTTCTAGACATGGTCTTTTATGACCTAACAAAGTCTCACACTCATGCAAATGGGTACGCAACATAAACTTCAATCCCACAAAATAAAATAATGTATACATAGCTACAACTTTGTAGAAGGCTTCAATAGCATATGTAATAGGTCTTCACTCTTACCATATGCAATCTTTTCTTCTTCAACTCTTCATACTGGTCTTTGGTTGGCAGGGACATGAGACCAAGGAGCTTTTCCTGGCAAAAATTTAAGCATTTATAGTGCTGCTTGCAGGCATTCAGCCAGTCTTCAAGTACTCAAGAACAGAAATACCACTGAGAGAATACCACAAATAAACAAGCTTCAGTCACTCCTGCAACTTTTTAGTCACACCTGAGCACAGCTCCACTGGCATTAATTATATCATTACCTAGATCAAGACCTCAGCAAGAGGCACAAAGCCAAGATGCAAAGCATGCTTTCCTCTTCATCCCCAAACACAGAAATGCTCAGACTACACTGTCTCCATTAAAGCTAGCTCACTTAAAGCTACCTTAAGTCCTTAGAGGACTTGTACAAAATGTGTAGAGCTAAACCTTCTGTCAAAACAGTTTCAAATGATGGAGATGGGCTAGCAAGGAGAATACGATATAAAATTCACAATCAGCTCGTAACATACAATCCCTTTACCTGAACAAAAAGTGTTGCTGAGTATCTTATCATTCTTTGAAGTTGCAATGTTTTAGGATGGGGTTGGAGCTCTTCATGCAAACCGAGACTCAAAATCTTCTTACTGAATCAAGACACAGATACAAGCTCCTAAGTTCAAGAACAAGCTCAAGGGAAAATTCAAGAGAAAAGGAATAGAAGTAGTAATGAAGAGAACTTTAGATTAAAAAAAATCTGTTTTCCTTTGAGGTAAATCATTCTGACAATTAGAAATGATAATGTTTTTTGCTTCCTCTGTGCTTAGTTATTTTCAATGCAGAGGAATGCATGATTTTTTAAGGCTGAAAAACAAAGTAGAAATCAATGGCACATAGGAACAGTAGCTCTTTCAAAACTCCCTTTACAATTGAGCAGACAAGTTTATTACCCATATGAATAAGTATGCAGATGCTACACAAACAGGGAGCCCCACAGCTGGGAATAATAAAAACTGCAGAAGAGTTGTAAGAGAAAGAGATAACAAACTCTGCTGAAGAAGAAAAATTCCAAATTTGCTTTGTTATGATAAACAGAGAAAGTGAGCAAGAAATCTTCCTTTACCTTAAAGCATCTATCAACTCGTACATTTTTTGAATCTCCACCCTCAAGTCATTAGCATGTTCAAGATTATAGGTCATTTCCCCAGCACTAAAAGATAAACACAACTTTATTATGTGATGCATCCAATTAGCAACATATACCACACTAAAATTTATCCCAAGATTACCAGAATACCAGAAATATAAATATAGCTAACTCTTCACAATTTTTTTCAAAAAAAACCTTTCTGACAGAAAAAAAAATAACTACAATATACATACACACACACACATATATATGTATATGTAACTATACCATTATATAGTAAACGAACTATTGCTACTTCCTTGTTCTCAGAAAGCAAAAGCCTACAATCCCATAGGGCAACATAATAATACCTAGTTCATGGGAATCTCATTTACTGATAACAAATTAGGATTTTCTAGGGAAGACTATTGGTTTTTAGTTTTCCCCCTCTTATAAAACATACAAAGCAATGATCATGCTCTCAAACTTTGCATTTCTATCCATAAGATCTCAGGATTTATGAGACCGAATACCAGCCAGGAATCTTAGTTTTCACTAATATGATGCTGCTTCTGTCCAATATATACTTTAATCAGGAGATTTGTATTTATTTTGCTTCAGTTATTAATTATTCAGTTATACTAGCTTTCCTGAAAAAGCAACCACAGCATAGCAGGTTTTTAACATTCTACATTTACTTCTTTCATTTGGGAACAGAGCTTTTAGCAAAATCAAATAGCAAATTTTTAGCAAAAGCAAAAACTGTTTTTGTTAACATGAACTATGGCATAACAATTACGCAAACATCAGATCAGAAAAAATGGCATAATTTATTATAGTTCATTTCGTGACATCCAAGACCACTGCACACAGTTCTCTCCTCTGCAAGACAGCAGTATAACCTGATATAATTTTGCAGATTTAGCTACAGAAATTTGTTACGCCAATTAAATAGCAGCACTACTAAAAAGCAGTTCTCTTTATGAGATTCTACTATTAATAATTCAGCATTACTTTGTTTGAAATCTGTCCAACAGACATTTCAAGTGCTACTAAACTACAGTTTAACAAATATAACCACACATGTAAGAATAAACAAAGTGTCACACTAAGGATAGTGTGTTGCTATTTATCTCTTAATTAGCAAAACTAATATCCATAATGGGTCTGCCTAGTCATCAGTGACCAGATCTTATATTCAGTACAGGCCTCTACAGGAATAAAATACAGCTACATAATAAATCCAGTAAATAAATGTATCTATTTAAATTTTTAAGGTGTGATGTGGGGAAAATATGTAAGAAAGCTCACATTTTTTTGAAAGGCTGTACAGAAATGCAAAATGTAATTACTGTTACAATCCTTTCAAGAGCATATTCTAGTTGTCTTCATGAGGTGATCAGACATAGCAAGTTGGAGAGGAGTGACGATCTGACCAATAACTGCATACACAATTCACTGACTTACATATGCTGCTTGCTTCCTCAAGTTGAAAATCATTTTTGCAAACACATATTAAATATCAAAAAATCAAAACAGAAGGATAATTTTCCAAAACACCCTACTCATGCCTCCTTTGGAAGAGTTTCCTAAAATCCATTCAATCCATTCGCTCTACAGCACTTTGTCTTCAGAAACTCCTCAAAAGCTACCTATTTTAGCAACATAACAAACCTGATTTTTTTTTAAACAAAGCCAAGAAATGTATTACGTAACTTTCTAGCCTTCATTACTTTTGTACAGTTACTCACATCTTTAATATTTGTGACAAGTAGCAGACTTATTTTGCTTTTAACCAATAGGATAAGTCTCTTTTAAGTCTCTTAAGATAATTATAATACCTATGCTAACTACTTGCTGATAACATGTTGGACTATAATGTAACATTCTCACTACACTTAAATCAGAGCCTTTATTTAATAACTGCTAAGACTCTCACATTTCTCCAATCAGAGCCTTTATTTAATAACTGCTAAGACTCTCACATTTCTCCAACTCTAGAAATTTACAGTATCACCTTTATCAACTATCTCCACGTTTGTTACATGTTTGTGAAAACAAAACCACTAATTCAAATCTCCAAACCAGGTACCAAAGCTTCAGCATAGTTAATTAACAATTCATCACCAGGATGATTCTTGCAAACTTTAAGACTTACTTTAATAAACAATGCCATTTGTTAATTTTTGGACAGGTATTCAGCTAGATAAAAAACACAGATTGTGGTATCAGTTTTTCTTAAAACCCCACTGCTTCTTTCCCCTCTCCCTCTTGTAAGGAGTGAAAGTGCATCATATTCATGAACACAATCAACAAATGAGGCTTACTTTAGTGATTCTGCCATCCTTATGTATTCAGGTGCTTTCTGGTCAACCTTTTCCATGCACAGTCGGAGTTTCTTGGGTTTTTTTTTTTAAAAAAAAACAAAACACTTGGATTAAAACACTAATGCAAGAACCTGTTGTCACAAACTTCTCATATACTTTCTGTGCACATTCAAAGTTAATGGTGATGAGAGCTGTCTTGCTAGTTAAGATCACAAGGCCCTCACAGTTTTCCTCAAAACACAGATGGCACAGTGAGGAACACAGAAAGAGCCTCTATATTCAGTCACACTGAACTTCAATTCAGAAGATGTTTTAGTAGGTGACTTGGACAACTTCTAGTCTTAATTTCAGAGAATCAACAGATATTCCCATCAGTACTAACCTGGGTGTTCTGCAGACTGCTGAAGATACCTGACAATTATCATTAAGTATTATTAAGTGTTTTCAAAGTATATTTGAACATAAAGTATTGAATGCTCTTGAAAATGGAGTGTTCCTAAAATGAAGATTTAAGTTACTAAAGGATATAAATTCTATATGGCAACTGGCTCCATCACTTCATATATATCTTTACTAGATGGCATGAACACCCAATAGACTCCATTCTCATGCAGTGGAATAATAAATGAGCTATAAATTCAGATGCTGGATATGAGAGAGCAAGCCAGAAGTCACAGTGACAGATACAGCTGTATTAACTATGGAGGAAAACAACAACAAGAAACCAGCAAGGAGCTTGCTTTACCTCATAGAGTTTCACAATCTCTGGAGTATGTTCTTTCTCATCAATCTGTTGTTCTCTTTTCAGCAGTGTGTCTTTGCAGTGCCGACAACAACGGATCCTGTCATCATCTTTCTCATCCATAACTGAGCTCACACTGCTTAGGCTGCTAATGCTGCCACGGCGGGAACCATGGACACTATTAGGTGAGGAGTTTGGGCTAGCACGAGAACTCAAGGCCTCTTTGCTGGCGCTGGTGAGTTTGTCTGAAAGTCACATTCAGATAATTTTACAGTGACTACTGAAAAACATGCAGGGAATCTATGACAAATGAAACTACAAGTTGGAATTTGTGTCTTTACTTCAAATCTTGTTGAAAGTCAAAAGGTGCTGGAGAGCAGACTGCTGGGAACATCTGACTTTGCCAACACTTAGAAGCAGTCTCATGTTAGCACTTGCATGGCTATAGAATAAGGATTGGAAAAAAAGTTACATGACACTTCCAATGTTTTACACTTCATCCATCCAAACAGCCAAGTTAATGGCATTTATTTCCACAGAAAAGAGTCTCCTCTTCAATGCACTAGAGGAGGAAATTAAAGTTGATAGGGCTTTTTACAGGTTCATGGCTGAATTTCTTTAATGTCAGTGTTTAAACAACCATGAAAAAGATCAAATATATCCACAACCACCTTTGATGTAAAGACTTTTGACAATTATGATTCTAAAAGATAACTCCTTCACAGTTAGGGTAATTAATAAGACTCCAAAGACTGATTTTGGAATATTTAGGAATACTACTACTTCTGGTGACACTTTCTGTGTTATTTAATGTTTCTAAAAATCTGAAGAAAGAACAAGAACGGATAATCATTTCTCTTACTGTTAACAATGTCTGCTGTGTAGACAAGTGTCTGCATGGAGTTAAACAAACCATTAAGAAGTTTTTCCACACAAGCTAAATATTTTAATCAACTTGATTCTAGTGCCAAAAACAACTGGGATACAGTTAGCATTCCAGGCGAGACAATGAAAGTAGGAAGTGCCATCAGCCACTTACTTGCCAAAGGAAGACTGACAAGTTCCATGCATTTCTTGCACATAATAGAACCACAAAGGCGGCAGTGGTGACGTCTGTTTCGAATACTGAACTTACTGCCACAGTCTGGGCAGAATGGAACATCCTGGTCACTGACCCAAGGCACAACAGACTTTTCTATAGCTGGAATCAGACGGAGAAAGGGAATATACACAGCATGAGATATTCATCAAATGCATTCCTCAACTGACAAAAGAGTTCGAGTTAAGCTCACTCCTACCTCTTATTTTAGCTGACTCTGTGTTTGCTCTGTCAAAAGATGTAAGCTAAAAGAAGATAAATAACATACACTGAAAGAAATTGTACTTTTGGGAGAGAAAAGGGCTTTTTTTTAAGCTAGGACTCTCAATTCTAAACTACTATTCACATAAGTAGCAGTAAAACAACAATTGCCAAATGTGTACAATAATTCTTACAGCATCCATCATTACTGTATCTGAGCAGAAAAAAAAAATCTAAGTAAAACATGTAACAGATAGATAAGGAAGAGTAAGAATCTGGAAGGATTGTAAGGAAAACTAAGGAAAACATTACAGAGAAACTTAAAAGTAAAACACAGAAAAATATAATATACAGAAGACAGGTGGTACTTGAAGCACACAGTAATAACATCTTCACCGTCAAAAGCAGCCATACAAGCTAAGAAACAGAAACCATATCCCCAGCACAGGGTAGAGAAAGCACAGTACACAAAGGGGGGGGCAGGGAGGGGAAAGAATACCATGTATGAAGAAACAGTAACAGATTACTGTCCTTTATAAAGTGCATAACTAGATAAATGGATACTCCTTATACAGAAAGATGATCTGTAGGAAACGGTCAGAAGGCTCAAATGTCAAGAAGCAGCAACTTTACCTTTTCTAACCTGATTATTAACTTATTCACTTCAACTACATAGTGATCGATCCTGGCTGCTCTGTGTTTCTTGAAATCAGAAAGATGGCTTCTTGTGGCACCTGGACAGAGAGAGGCAGATGGAGAGACAGACACACAAAGTTTTAGAGTCATCCAGGTATTCTGTATATGCATTAATACAAGTAAATGGTGCTTGAAAGGCAGCTTTCACATCATTTCACTGTCTATTTCTCATATCCAAATGGAACTTTAAACTATATTTTTATGGTGCTTCTCTGAATATAACATGCAGACTAAAGCATAATTTCTATTTCTATTTTATTTTTCTTTCAGTTCTGATTATCCTTCTACCTTTAGCAGTCTGAATCAAAGCCTTGCTAATGGTTCAGATTTATGTAAATCTGAGCGCACAAAAGATCAATATAGAATTCAAAACTAACATTGCTGAAGTAAAACAACATAACCAAACAACATAAGCCAGTTATTAAAAAGCAAAGCTGCAAAAATCACATCTAGCCTCTCTAGGCATATGAAAGAGAAGGAGGTGTTGAGAAGTCAGCATGGATTCACCAAGGGGAAGTCATGTCTGATGAACCTAATAGCCTTCTATGACAGGATGACTGGCCAGCTCGACGAGGGGAGAGCTGTGATGTTGTCTACCTTGACTTCAGCAAGGCTTTCGACACCATCTCCCATGATATCCTCATACAGAAGCTCCGGGAGAGTGGTCTGGACAAGCACACAGAGAGGTGGATCAAGGACTGGCTAGATGGCAGAGCTCAGATAGTGGTGATAAATGCGGCCGAGTCCAGTTGACCAGTGGTGTCCCCCAGGCGTCAGTACTGAGCCCCGTGCTGTTCAACCTGTTCATCAATGGCCTGGACGAGGGCATGGAGTGCACTCTGAGCAAGTTTGCAGATGATACCAAGCTAGGTAGAGTGGCCGACACTCCAGAATACTGTGCTGCCATCCAGAGGGACCTGGACAGGCTGGAGAGTTGGGTAGAGAAGAACCTCATGAGGTTCAATAAGGACAAGTGCAGGGTCTTGCACCTGGGGAGGAACAATCCCAGGCATCAGTACAGATTAGGGGTTGACCTGCTGGAGAGCAGCTCCATGGAGAGGGACCTGGGAGTCCTGGTTGACACCAAGTTAACCATGAGGCAGCAGTGCCCTCGTGGCCAAGAAGGCCAACAGGATCCTGGCCTGCATCAGGAGGAGTGTTGCCAGCAGTTCAAGGGAGGGGATCTTGCCTGTCTATTCAGCTCTGCTGAGGCCACACCTGGAGTACTGTGTGCAGTTCTGGGCTCCCCAGTATAAGAGGGATGTGGAGCTTCTAGAGAGGGTCCAGCAGAGAGAGACAGAGATGATTAAGGGACTTGGACATCTCTCGTACGAGGAGAGACTGAGTGTGTTGGGCCTGTTTAGCTTGGAGAAGAGAAGGCTGAAAGGGAATCTGATTAACATGTGTAAGTTCATGAAGGGAGAATGTAGGGAGGAAGGGGCCAAGCTCTTCTCATTGGTGGCCAATGACAGGACAAATGGCAATGGGTACAAGCTGAAACACAGGAAGTTCCATCTCCATGTGAGGAGGAACTTCTTGATTGTGAGGGTGACAGAGCCCTGGAACAGGCTGCCCAGGGAGGTTATGGAGTCTCCTTCTCTGGAGGTCTTCAAAACCCACCTGGACGCCACCCTGTGCCACATGCTCTAGGTGTGCCTGCTTGAGCAGGAAGGTTGGACTAGATGATCTCTAGAGGTCCCTTCCAACCTTAACCATTCTGTGATTCTGTGAAAAATGTAAAAATAGTTTTTCCTCTGTAATTTGATAGAACAGAAAACAAGATGTTGTTGCTCGACACTGTTTATGAGAATATAGGATGATTTTGCCCTTCCTCATTCTAAAGAAACGCACCAAAACAACGTTTTGACCAAAGTCAAATTCACTGAAATTGAAAGGCCCTCCAAATTCACTCTGCTACTGCACACACCACAAGGCCCCTTTAACAAACGCATCAAATCTCATCCTAAAAATCAGTAAGGTTCACCTTCCCCACTTCTATCAGGAAACAGTTTTCCCTTCTCTAATGTTTAGAAGCCTTCTGTTAATCCACAGTCTAACATTACTCTTTAATATTCATATTAAATATTTATATAATATAAAATTTAATTATATATATTTGCATATAGCTAATATTTATATTTATGCTTGATGATGAAATAATCCAAGGCAAATATACAATCATCTACAGAACTCAGACCCTGGCAGATACATAGGACTAAGCCCCTGCCCTTCAGCAACACAAAACATTACCAAAGCTCACCAGTAACAGTACTGCCTCTGCTTTTTTTCTATGCAGATTAACTGTAACAGCTCAGTAACAGCAAAATGCAATTTCTAGTAGCAGAATTTGTAACTATAGGCTTGGTTAACACTTTCTTGAACATGCTGGGAGTTGTTTTGTTGTTTTTTTTTTCTCCTTTTAATTAAACACCATCTCTTTCTAATGACAGGCTATATATACTTTAAAAAAAAAAAAAGTTCCAATGAAGGGAAAGCCTTTCTGACAGGCATATAACCTAATACTGACTTTAGCCTAAAAGACAGAGAATTTATTCAGCTATAATTACTGATTAGTGATTTATCAGTTTTGTAAAAAGCAAAATGATGGTTGTAGAACATTCCAATAAAGCTAGATCCACAGTAGCAGACACATGTACTCAGCAGGTCTCAACAGCTAAAACACAAATGTATCACAAACTATTGCAAGCGTCAGTTGAGAACCTGGTATAGGTTTATGATTTTTTACACTGTCAGCAATTTCCCAATCACCCTATATAATACAGACAAGGTGCAAGAAATAATATGCAAATCTTCACCCCATTCTGTGGCAACACGGACATTTCCATGCAGCTTAAACAAAACTGCAGGATTTCCCCTAAGGTTAAAATAAAAAGTTATCCACACTGCACATCACTTTCTAGTTCTCTTACCTAGTTCTTGGGGCTCCCACATGTATGGATCTACTCCACCATAGCTAAATGACTCATATCGTTCCTGAGACCCAGAATCTGTTCGACCATCTTCTCGTTTTAGGAATTTCTTCTTTGCTCTTTTGGCCTTCTGGACTAGATCTGGAAAAGGCAGAACCATATATCAAGCACTAGGTTAGGCTGCTGGTCACTGAATTTATGTCATTTGAAGCTGGAATAGAATATTTTCTGATCTTTTAATACAAGTCTTTTTCCTTGATGACAAGATTATTAACATTTTTGATTTTACACAAATAAAACTTAGTCTGGAACCAGAGCATGGTTCAGAAATGCTGTTTTTTTGTCTGTGATAAAGAAGTGCTAACTTCTTAATAACAAAACTTTGATTTTGGCACACCATTCTGAACTCTACTGTAAAACTAAGCTGTTGATGACAGCTGCATTAACTTATGAGACCTGATCCATAACATATGGAACAGCGTGCACGTAATAGCTTTTCATTCCTAATGATTTTCTAAGGATTCAAGGATGCTCAGCACATACAGCACATATTTCTGCACAAACTTAATAGTAAGAATTGCAGTGTGTTTGTATTTTCCCAAGTACTAAAGCAGCCTATTCCATCATCTCACATGAATGCTTGTAAGAGGACAACCTACTGAAACGTGGATGAGGACTGGGATGGGGAACTTGAAGCTTTAAAGCTTTTGTCCCTTCTGCAAGTACCAAACCGCCCACGTTCTGCAGGTTCTTCACTAAACACGTGAAGGTTGTCTGTGGTACAGTATAAAACTGAGAGTGCTCAGAGTAGCAGACAAACGACCCCAAACCCACAGAGCAGGGAAAAAAGGAAGGCGGCAACAAGGCACAAAGGCAGAGGAGAGGCCGGGGCGCCGGCGGCTACAGCCAGGCCAGGCCCCTCGGCGCCGCTTTGCGCGCGCCACAAGGCGAGGCCGGGCCCCCCCCCCGCGCGGCGCGTGTCGTGGCGCGGAGCCCGCGCGGGCCCTTACTGCGGAGCGGCGCGCGCACGGCGCGCTCCTCGCCCTGGTGCTGCTCCTCGTAGTGCGCCTGCAGCTGGCGCAGCGACTGCAGGTCCTGCAGGCACAGCGGGCACAGGAAGCCCTCCCGCACCTCCGCCGCGTCGCCGAAGGGCGGCGCGCAGCCCGACGCCATCACGGCCGGGGCCCCTGGCGGCACGGCAGCTCGCCCGCGGCCTGTGGCAGGAGCGCAGCGCGGCGGCAGCTCGGCATGCCCGCCGTCCTGCCCCGCCTCGCCTCGCCTCGCCTCGCGTCCCCACCCGGCCGCGCCTCGGCTACCGAGCAGCAAGGGACGAGCCGAGACGGGCCGCGCGTCGCGGCAGGGCGGCACCGGGACGAGCCGCGGCAACGGGCGGGACGGGACCGCGCGGCGCAGGCGCAGGACGCGCGCAGGCGCAGGACGCTCCGGCCGCGGCACCGCCCAGCGCGTTGCGCGCAGGCGCGCTGCGCCGCGCAGGCTGGCGGGGCGAACGCCGAGCGGGCGGGGCCGGCCGGGCGAGGGTGAGCTGCCGGGCGGGAGCTCTCG